TAGTCACCTCATTATAAGCCAAATGCCCGTTGAGAAGTACTACAGCTCACCGGCATTTCAAGCGTAGGCATTCCGCTTAACACATCGGGGAATATAATCATGACGTCTTTAAATTAGTCGTCTGTTTCTTAAATGAAAAATATTTGTTTGATGACCCACTTATCTGAACAACTAATTTACTTACCTGTTCGCTGGCAGAAAACTTTGTCAAAAAGCTATTAACACATGTATTACTCCCAATAACTTTCATGGCGAAACTGTCTAATTAACCAGGAAACTGTCGATCCTCCTTACCCATAATGAAATTCGTACAACGCGAAGATAATGTGACACCGAATAAATGAGATCTCATCTCGAATTCAAGAGACCCGCTAAGTAAATCACTGACCAACCACCATGGATATGTAGAATTATGGTCTACTATGATATTAGCACTGCTCTAATAATAGACTTAATCCTAAAATTGTAGATTTGTTATATAACTGCCTAATCTATAAGATCTTACGTGGAAGTCACATCATCGTCTACACCAACTCACTGCATCATAACAATCACCAATACATGATGGAGAACAAGCTTAGGCTAGAGATAGGACAATATATTTAATATGAATAAAAGATATAAGGTAACATTCAGTAGGGACCACGCCTGCAAGGCAGAGCCATGCCATCCGATCAACTCAAATGAATTCAATTCCTTGTTCCCGCACTATCCATCGTCGGATTTTTCTTCACGTTAAATACTGAACATCTGTTTCCCCAGTTGTCTCGTGTTCAGCTTTGAGTATTATGTGGTTAGGGCCCATTGCCACTACAGATTTACTTTAACAAGTTACTCAATATAATGATGAAAGGCAGCTAATAGATAGATGGATAAACAGACAACTAAACAAAGGAATATTGGAAGGAATGGAAAGGCATTCGAATCAGTCACACAACTGAGCACAATTTAATCAACAGAATCGAGCTAATTTATTAGATGGTCACGTGGTCTATCAGATATTTTACCCTAAAATGAGTATACAATTGTACGCGTTTGACATGTTTGCATTAAGTACCATATAAACGTACGAAATTATTTGGGTGCTATATTTCATCGTCACGTGAGCTACCAGTAAAAAGTATCTGAATGATTTCATGCTGTCCCAAAACGCTGGATATCCAGCAAATATTGGGCATATTGGTTTATCCAACTAGCTAAGCTGTAGTTACCTAATCAAGTTTATTACCAAGAAAATTTGGGATTCGCATGCTGCAGAAGTATTCTACGGGTCTTTTGCAACCCAACAACCGTAACAATAGCTTTAATATTTGGTTCGAATGCACCACAACGTGTAATCGTAACACTAAGTAACACCGCATACATCTTTTAATAGAGACAAATGAACAAACCGGCTGCGAATATTCGTTGTCTAACAACAAAAATAAAACAGCTAACGACTAAATCTAAGTACTAGAAAAATGAACGTTGCCAAAAGCCTAAAATGTTACAGAGTCTATTACAATAAAGTAACTATTCATTGGTACACTTCTAATTTTTATTGTCGCACTATGGAAATTCGACCTATGTTTATTAAGTCACGGCAATGGTATGAATCCCAAACCAGTAAGAGTTGTAAGTGACCTAACTTTGACCAATACGAACAATTTGTCGACTCCCCGCGTTCATTATCAAACGCTATCAGAGAACGTCCAAACGTTGTTTTCGTCAGACTATACAAATAGGAGTCTTCAGAATCTACTCTGACTAGATCCTGGAAGACAAGATAGCACTTAACTATGAGTTCGAATGGTTGACTGAAAAACTAGCCAGCTGAATATGTTTTCAGTGCACTTATTCTGAATTGTATCTGTTGGCGAGGACAGTGTAGAACACAAAAATTAATTTTTGTTTTACTTGTTTTTTGTTTTGCCGTAAAAGTAAACCAGATAGATTAGTGTGATTATCTTTAGCATATATTTTATGCATATTTATCACACAGCTTTCGTGTTGGGAACATTGTTTCACATCGTCCATATAATATAAATATTTTTGTCGTGTACCAAGTGCCAGATTTAATGCAGAAGGAAAGCCTGGAAAATAAGCATAATTTCTCATCGTTAGAGATGGACACTGTTTTGACTGTGATAGCCCGAATAGCAGGATTAAATCGCAATGGCCCCGAGTTGTGGTCCGCTCAACTAGAATATTATTTCACGAGGAAATTTGATGCAAAGATTTATGCTCTTTTCTCTGTCCTTCAGTTGTCAAGGGAGTCCACGACTTAATTTCGGATCCTTCAACAATGAAAAAAGTTAGACAATAAAAGATATAGTTATTAGTATTCTTAACACTTCACCCTCTATATGCACACTCCCTTCTAATAAGCAGATTTCCTTGTATCAACCTTGACTCCCCTTCCTTCATGTGAGCTTACTCCAGCTTGTTAAACGCCATAACTCATTGTTCTTTATTACTACATTCTCTTATATGGAGCCTCTGACTTCATTTCACTCTAACAAGAAATAATATGAATTGAATCTAATTTACTATACTTCTGTCTGTTTATGATAATTAGAAGTAATTGAATTAAAGTATGAACTAAGAATCCCAGAAATAACGCAATTGAATCAAGAAGTACTACACAAGCACTAACGAATGTACTGTATTTAGAATTCGAAATCAAACATTCAACAAGTACAAAGGAGTCATTAGTTCATTCAAACACCACATCCGCCACAGCTTAAATTAGAGTCTAAGTGTCTGTAATCAATTGTACGTCTTCTCCTCAAGTTCATGCTGTGTCTGTCCGACAATGTATTGGATAAAGACTCTGTATTATCTAGAATGCACTCATTAGTATTAGAATTAACAACTGAAATCGGAACAGACTCACCTGGTTGCTGCAATTGTATTTGATCAACATGTCGATTGTGTGTACTTAAGTCATTGATATCTAGAAGTCGCACCATAGATTTCCCGACATTCTTCAGAACGATCCCCGTGGATGGTCGAAGATCATTGCCACGATAATATGTAACTTCTGCAGACTCCAAACATCTCATATTCGACCGAAGAGTTCTTCCTTTTAATAGTTTTGATGGAGTCTCTTTCGTCACCGAATGTCTGGCATTTCTATATTGCAGTAGAAAAGTATCTACTCCCCTCTCCAGCTCATTAAATGTTGGTTTATTTATAAAATACACATCAATTCTGGCACAAGTAAACACCTAAATATAAGTGCCACACAAATAAACGTAAGTTAAACCTGAGTTTGTAGTTCTACTGCAAATGCCACCCACACTCTACAGTGCCATAACAGCCACGAGATGTTTAGTTTTACTAGATGCTAACTTCATCAGATGTGTTGGTTTGACATGTTTTAACTTCAACTGGCACACATTTAGGTCAGGGTCCTACACTATTTATGACTAACTGACTAGCTATTATAGTGCAATCTATGATCAAGATGCTCAACTTGGTCTATCTGATTGGTAACTTAGAAAATGGACACAATCAGTAAGATACCCATAAGCAACAGAAAACTTAGCACACATGTAAGTAGGTCCAATTTGGATACACTACATCAGAACAGCACTAACTAACCAAAATAAATAAGATGTAGAATTTGAAAATTATGAGCTGGTCAAATCTCCACAATACTACAATCCGGAAGTAATTTGAAAAGACTAACAGTTAAACTTAATTGGATATGTGATTTAGTGTAATATAGCAAACATGTACAAATTTTCTTTATTGGATTATATGATAACGACTATACAGAATCTCTTCCATCATATTTACAGATAAATAAAGTAAAGCCCATTTGCTAACAACAAACATATGAGTATATTAAATGGCGATATGTATTTGTTTTACACTGTTAGTGGTAGAACCTAAATGAAGATGCCCCCAAATGCCCTGGTACGGCCGAGAGTAGGGAGAGTCAACTCTCCCTCTCCAAATGCTCTCACATGGCCATGCGTATATAGCCTCTGACAGGGAAGTCCTACTCACTGCCTTCACGTGGCGGGAGTGTTGTTTACGAAATTGAGAGGACGAAAAGCGAATGTCCGGCGCTTTAACCGGATCCCAAACCAATGGTGCACATGGGCTCCAGGATCCTGAAGGGACAAATGGCGTATGAACCAATTTGTGGTCACCAGCTACCATGGGACTGCATCTCCTTACAATGCTCCACTGCCTTGTGGGTCAGACCTTTAGATCAAAGGCTCGGAGTGTGGCCCCCTAAGAAAACCATCGGCTTCGGTTTGGACACCCAGTCAGTATCACAGCCCACACACAAATCAAATGAGATCTGTGTGGCGCATATGTATTTGGTGCCTCCTTGTACCAATATCTATGTGTTAAAATAAATAAATAAATAATGAAAATAATCTTATTTCCTGTATGTTGTGTCTAAACTATTGAGATTCAACGTTACTCTTCTTTAAAAAAAAAAGTGTACACAAACCACAGACTGTAGTAAAGCATATAGGTAGTAAGTTTTGAAGGTCAATCCTTAATATAGTAAAGAGGAACTTAAAACTTAGCTTTTTTTGTCTTAAAGTTCTTGAATTATCTTGTTCATTCTTTTACATGACCTATGTAAACAAAAATCTTATTCATATTAGTTAAACAAATGCAACTACATTGAATGTAGTGATTTTTTTCTATTCGAAGCACTTTAGATAATCTCTATCGGATAATAATAATAATAATAATAATAATAATAATAATAATAATAATAATACAGATTTTGCACTTGTAAGAAGAAGAAAAAAGATAACTTTATGATGATAATGATGACCTTGTCAAACATTAATATTATAATAATACACTTAAAAGTGATTGGTTAGTAAAACCATGTGACTTAAAATACAATTACAATCTCTATAATATCTCAAGGTTCATTGTATAGATATTTATGTAGAGAATATCATAATGACGAAAGAAAAATATGACAGAAATAATGAATAATTGATCTACAATGTATGTATATATCAATGGAATTCACTTACCAGTATTAATGAAAACATCAGGACGAAGGAATATACGTCCAGACGGTTCACGAACAACACTGTACCAAAACTTTCATTTAAAAAAAAAGAAGAAAGAAATCAAAATATCAAGTTATTTTATCAATAAGCATAATGAATGGTAACTTTTGGAATCCATTTATGGACTAATACTATACGTATATTTTTATAGTATAATTGTTAAATAACTAAACTATACATATTCATGTCCCTCTTATTGTAAGCTTTATTTCGACCTATGAACTATTATTATACGATTTACCATTCTTGAATTATTCCCAGTTGTTATAATTCTATCTTATTACAACCCAGCTATTTTTTAAGTCTTCCTAATTAAAATGAAGAATTAGATGTCACATTACTTACTGAACAAACCAACTAATAACTAACTGGACAAATATTAGAAATTGTGCATAACAGTGTAAAAGGGAAATATTTCAGTAAATTCTTAACAATATTCTTCATTATTTTGAAATTATGTAAAAACAATGTGCAATATATAATACTCCACGGATGTATTCACTTTTATCTTCCTCCTCGATCTTGAATCTCAGTATCCCTCCATACATGACTTTTTAATTCACCTTCTTAAATTACTAAAATCAAGGTTCAGGTGTTCTTTTCGTCAGTGCTACTATGTTATTTAAGTATATCATTATTCACCTTGTTATTTCCAGCGCATGTTATAGTAACTTGGGACAACACACATCTGTTCCAAGCTCTATGTTGATGACGTCTGTTTAGCATCATTTGTCAAATAATACCAATGCAGTATAAATCTTGCATTTAGTCTAAACACCCTAGTATAGGAAAATAATTGCTCTATCGAAGAAATTTCACTTTTACGAAGGTTGCAGATAAAGTCTTGCGGAAGAATGATCACATACAAAATGTTCTAAAATACTCAACACTTTTTATATTACCTGTGTTCGTTTTGGGACTTTATTCTGTTACAGTTTACGACGAATTAACATACCTCAGTAACCTAATGAGAATATGAAACAAAATATTCAATTACAGATCAGATACTTCACTTTGAGTGGTTGGGGAATTAAGCTTAACCAATAACCATCCCGGGTATAGTACATGGTTTTATAACCGGTTGTCGAGTAATATTACGAGTATTAAGTTAACGAATCAACTATATGCTTTATAAAGCAGTCGCGATGAGTTTAATATCATTGACAGTATAAGCACTGAACAAAGGAGATTTATACTAAAAAGCAGATATAGTTTTAGCCCAAACAAAAAATTAAAACTTTAAACAAATTATACAAACGGGACTGAGTAATCACAACCAGATGTAGACATAATCCTGTGGGCCATCATTATCACGAGAGCAATAACGATTACATCTCGGTATGGACAGTGAATACTATTAATAACTCTCACAGTATTTGTACAACGGTTTAGTTACGCGTGGATGGTGATATTTTTTCTTATTTTATTCCAGAACATTTTTACGTGTGCGAGGTATATCATGCTTTCAACATTTCCAATGTAACAAGTAATGGTATAATGAACCTTTTTTTCATTTGCCCGTTTCAAATGAAATCGTTATTTGAAAAACTGGTCGTTAAATGAATATTATTTGAGTCGTTTCAAGAACATCCACCTAAATTTTTACGATTATATTATACAATAGATACGAATGTAAATAATCACTTGTCATTACCGACTTCTAAACTTCCAACTAATAAGTGACGGGTTTTAACCCTAATCCGCCCAATTCCGTTTGAGCAGCCAGGTAGCATCACTAACCTTTATAACTAATGTGTAACGTGAAATCAAATACATGGTTCCGTAACTGGTGAGTTAATAAGAAAATGTATTACATATTAAAGAAAACACAGCACAGACAAATAGTCGCTAAAATTTTCTAGAGAGAATCAATGAAACATACTTTGAGAAAGTTGAGTTGATTCTGACGTCCCCAAGTTTCATCACAGGAGATATAGGATCCAAAGTCTAGAATGAAATTTTGTTAATGCATTTAGTATAGCGTTAAATTAATAATATTCAAACTAAATAACGCTTGACAATAAAAATTATACATGCTATAACAAAAATGAAAATTAACTAGAGGTTTCCTAAAAATCTCAGTGAGTCAGTGGTCAAAAATGACGAAGAAACTGACACAAACGGGAATCGGCTTGAGTGACTACATCATGTCAGCAAGATGAGGTGAAATCATGAGGATGAATACTATGATAGTAGAAGTACTAGTAATAAAAAATTATTGGGCATAGAAAATATGATTCAGTAGGAAAGAACGAACTGATGGGATGAAAAGCATAGAATGATTTTAAAACCAAGGATCTAAGGGAAAACAATTACTGAATGGATCAGCGCAGTTTTGAACGATATTAAAATTTCAGTCGACGTCTCTAACGATCGAAGATAATAACGCGAACCTCAACCGGTCAGTATGCACTAACCAACATGGTTAATATCGACACTCGACTATCTCATGGACTAATTCCATATCTTTGGTGGGCCACTCCTAGATTTCTTCATACATACTCTTAAGACTGTCAGGTCTCAGGCATGAGATAAAACAGAGAGAACTGCTGCACAATATCATCTTTTTGGTGATAGACGAATATCTTGCCTAAATCAAAGGTGACTAGGTTTGATAAACGCTTTTGAACAGGTAAAGAGGTTTCGCGAGACACTAACCAACCACGGTTAATGAGAACTCATCTCCAAATGAAGTGATCGATGCACTCAACATTTTGGATTTAGAGGGAGACGCATTCAAAAAATGATTGGATTGTTCCTGAAGGCAATCAGAATACTGTATTTTCTCAGTCTTCAACAGACAGGATGATTTCATTTGAGCACTTAAGGTCGAAAAATGGATCCGTCGGTAGATTAATCCTTGAGGACTTAGACGAAGTACCTAGGTCTGAAGATAGACTTTCAGAGTCTGCTGTAGACAAACTCCAGATAGACCAAAGATGATTACTGAGGTTAATATTTTAGATCCCATGTTAGCAGAACAGATACCTTAGCGGCAACCAGAAGAGCACTTCTGTTCTTTCTCATATACTGGGAAGATCAGTGACCGAGAACGGTCAGATGAGATGAGACGTTTTTTGCAACTACAAATTTAGTAGAAGTTACAGATTCGCTGGCGTCCCCAACCTGTTTTTTTCAGCTAGTTTGATATCATATTAAGCCACGTCATCGTGAGCAAAAATTTTATGATCTACTCCTTTAGTTGTTCTTAAAACATATCCTTAACATTTCCTTCTGAGATTAGCTTTAAGAGTGTAGTCATATGCATATATGTATGTACAGGCAAGTTTGAAAATATGATTACATGCAACTCAGTTAAAGTTCATATTTCACTGAGATGACAACCGATAAAATATTACTAGTTATACCTAAGGTTATACATAATTTCTTTGAGACTGTTAATGCATTGTTTGCTTACATTACAGAGAAAATGGAACTTCCCCATAAATGTAAATAACAAAGAATGATTTTGTCTTACCTTCTCCATATATTCCAACAGATGCTACGAGAAGAGAAAGTAAGTTTGTACAATGAGCGAGCCTAACGCTAGTTGATGAACCAGATGATGGAGTTATAGATAAAACAAGAAGGGAGTTTAAAGCAACTTCTATCTCATTTGGTAGACCTGAACACAATGCTGATTCCACTAAACGCAGTTGTGAGGGTTCAAATACATCAGGAAATTCATCTGCATTAGAATTGGCGTCAAATATATCATTATCTTGACCGGTTCTCTGAATCTCTTTATTACTATAATTATAATCCTGTAAACAAATGAGAAAATCACTTATCAATTTGAAGCGTAAACAGACACTGTTTAGGAACAGACGGAAATTTCACTCAGTTAAACCATTGAGCAATTGCTTTAAAATATGTTTACTACAATATACAGTAAATGCATGTAGCGAAGGTTAAGGGAAGTACTTTACATATCTATTTTTACTGACATGAGGAAATCATATAAATCAGCCTGCTGTTACCACAAATTTGGAGATAGTTAAACCCATGTAGTATTATGTAACTGTCTAACTTAAGATTTATGTTTTCTCAGAGCAATAAGGGCATGCTCTGTATTATTTTACGGTTGTGAAAAATGGTCTTTGGAAATAGAAAACACGTTAGGGCTTTACGCTTTTGACCCTAGGTATATGCGAAACGCTGCTCGTGTTTCGTGGGACGACAGTGATTAATGTTAAGGATAGAGTGATCGACAAAAGTGGAAAGTCGGTTGACAAGCTTATGAACTGAGGTGGTTAGGACGAATGTCTGCTGGCGTAAAAGCAGGTTGGAAGCTAGGAGCGACGAGACCAATATGGCGTCAATCCATAAAGTCATTGACTAGTGATGATTGGGGCCCGCAAGGGAATCGCGATTAGCGGCTGGGGAACTTGGTTCAGAATTGTTTATAGGGTGACCAATGGGGTATAAATGACCAGACAGCTCAGCATTTCAAGTTATTTTTACGATCATATCAGGAATCATTATATAAATCAAATAGTAAGCATTTCTAAAATGTCCAACTGTCAACAAATCCCTTAATATAGAACTATACTCTACTGATCTGAACTATTTAGTACTAACCAATATAACAGATTCAAGACCCTTTCAAGGAAGTCGTACAATACAAATATTCCCTCTGAAATATGTATTCTGGTACACATACATATAGAAAGTTGCTGTTGGTTATTTTTGTTAAAAAATCGTTTGCTAAATCAAACAAAACTCCAGTGAATGCACTTAGGTGGTGAGATCTTAGTAACTAACCACATGTAACTGACTAAGTTATAAACTAGAAGCACTTATTATTTGACTTTTAAAACCAAACGCAGTCTGGTTGCTACTACCAACGGCTGTAGAATCTTACACACTTATTACATAAGGGTGATGGAATAACGGAAATGTCATCATTCTAAATGTATATAAAAGTCTTAAAGTATGATTTTATTTATTTAAATACACAAACACTGGCACACGGGTGCACCAAATACATATGCGCCACACAACAACAATGAGTCCAGTAGCAGTCAGAGTGAGGGCTGTGATACTACCCGGGCGTCCAAACCGAAGCAGGTAAGGTGTAATAGATTAACAGTTAAAACCGAATGTTGAAAACTGACATATTAAACAAAATGAACTTGCCTGAAATAAGGGGAACAAGCGAGACCGATGGGATTGATCAAAAAGATCGACCGCTGAGTGAACGGAAGTCATATGAGCATGATTACACGATGTCCCAATCCCGAGATTCCGCTCTACGGAAGAAAGTGGTAAGGTGGCGTCTTCAGGAGTGACATCTGGTTCGACAAGTGTTTGAACCAGAAACTGTTCAGAGAGAGAAGGGTATTCTTTGAATTCAAAATGACTTAAGAATTGGTAATAGATTCTTCTCAGTCCAACACTTGCATTGGCACACTCACTAGGGAGCTTTAATTCCCGAGCTACTTCTAACCAGCATCTATGGTCGCACACCCTTTTATAACCTCCGCGAGATACTACAGCCACAAACAAATCACTGAGCTTGATTGGCTTTCCCAAAAGTCTTGGTAACCGACGATGGTAATGCCTAGCAATAAAACTATGGTATAAAGGAGTTACCTTTGGATTCGTTTAAGCAGTCGTCTATTATTTGAAACTTCTCGTCTAAGCGTCCTGTTGGTTTGTGAAATCAAGGTTGGACAACTGGAGGAACGTCTATTTTTATTCATATTATTCGTGTTAAAGAAGTAAAATGAGTCTTGTAAGCACCGTGGAATGAAGGAATGACAGATCTGGAGATGCGTCCCAAAACCATGGAACCTAAGTTCTGAGGCATCATGAATCCTTACAAATTAACTAAACAGTTAGACTTACACAAAAAAACAAATCTCAGTTCATGACCGGTTAAGGAAAAACCCGGGTCAAATAATCGACTTGATTAACACATTCATGCATTAAAACAAGAAAATCATGCAAGTGGATTTCAAAAACATCCACCTTTTCTTGAGTTGTTTACTTGTCATCTGTTTTTGAACAGGTGAACATTTTTGAAAAACACTTCAAAGTACTGTAAACCAGTAAATAACTGTAAACTCATGCATACCGCAAAGACCATGAAATTGGAGGGTGATAAATTTCTTTAAACCTAGTAAACCACTACCAACTGACTGTATTATTGCACCTACTACATATTTTTGGGTTTGTTCTGTCACCACAATTACCATCACAGTTAAGAGTTTGGGTATGTGATGGTCTGTTTTATCTCATATTATATGTATCTCTAATTAACGTACTAAATGTTGTCACTAGGTTTCCCTCCATTCTGTTCTGTGAACCGTCCCAAACCGCGTCTGATATCTGCTTAAAAACTAGTTTGGATAGAATTTCTTTATCGTGTCTCTTACCGCTATCGGTGGAAAGGAATAAGAAGAGAAGTAACCTGATAACAAATTACATTTCCTCGATATAAACTCACATTTGAGGTGTGGAACAAAGAATAAGCCACTCTGCGTCGATAAAATATCTCCACTATGCTGGACAAAGACGCCAAGAAACTGTCTGCTAGCTTCAATGTCTGACATACTTACGATGAACATCCATCAACCGTCTAATTTCTTTGCAGTCACTTTTTGGCAATCTGACACGGGGGAACGATAGAAGGAGATCGTTTCATGAGGGAAGTAAATGGATTGAATTATTAGTGTTATATAGAAGTGTAAGAATGAAAAAGGAGAGTTGACGATAAAAAGGGAGAAAGAAGTAACTAAATGATATTTGGTAATGTTTGCAGTGGGTAAATTGTGAGACAATCTCCAGGCACAGCTAGTCCTAGCGGAAGATGGTTACACTTATTTTAGCATCATCTTTATTATAGTTTGAGCTGCTGTCCAAACTCTTCTTGGTCACTAGTTCCGCTAAATTCCGCTCAAAAGTTAATCGTTTGTCTTCCCAGTTATCCATGGTATTCAAATAGGGACTTACTTTACATATTATTCACAAACAGGCTCTTATCAGTCAGTTGGTCAAGGTACAACACCTGTTAATCCATGTAATAAGATTAGTTCTCAATTATATGATCCTCGATGACTAACATATCATAACTCAGAACATTTACATTCCACATTCAACACCACAGAGAAGGATAAAAAGGACGATAACGGAACACGTGCTATGTATGGCATGGCTCGGTTATGCAGTTGAGAACACTATGTAGCTTGTCCTTTATCATGTTAAATATATTACCCTTTCCCTATCACGATTGTGTCACTCATCATAAGACTATTAGGTGTAGGAAATGGTGTAACTTCCACGTAAGATTTAATAGATTAGGTAGTTTCGCCGTGGTAAATCTACGATTGTGGGATTAGATTTACCATTCTAGTATCAAAGATAAATGCCTGACCTAGAGCATAATTCTACATCCACCAAACCAATTAATGAACCCAGATTATTCAGATCTCTTTTAACAAAGCCTCTGTTGTTTGGCTTTGTGTAAGATTTGCTCTAAATATGACATTTTTTATTGTGTGACAACTAACAGTTAACAATAAGGTCTTAATGAACCGAAAAGAAGGTTGGGGAGAATAGTGACTAGTCATTTTCGCCCTTTGATTATAAGTGTTAGTTATGGCAGTTTTAGGATTTTGCCCGTTTTCTTCTCTTAAGCAACTTATGAAGGTGGAGATATAAGTGAAGTGAGCGGTTAGTATGTAGCAGAATGACAATGAGTAAGACACGCTCGTTGACACAATATAATTTTTTCTCCCGGAACTTTAGGAATGCTGCTAGTCGATTATTAGACTAGCGTGGTGAGCTCTTGCTAACGTGGTAAATAATAGGTTTCCGCATAGAAGTGAATGCGGAATAATGGTCTGAAAAAGTAGGTAGAAGATACTTCCAGACCACTCTCGGATTTCACAAAATCAAGAGGTGCACTAACTATCCAACTACTTTCAGCATTTGCATACAAATTATGCAGATTTATGAGCTCACTTAAGTTTATCGGAAGTAAACGGATTATCGCTTTATTTAACATCTTCAGAAATGAATTCATTTCTATGACGTTAAACACTATTTTTATCACAAAACACATTCCTCGATATTAAGAAAGCAATACATTAAACCTTGCTACTTACGCTGCAGTGATAGTGGTCAGTGGGTTTCCTGCTACTTGGCACTCGTCAGCAAGGTGTACCTGTAATCTCAAGTAAACTGGTGCTCCGGGTCCAGGGTTTCCTGTCGACTAGCTCCAACCACCATCTAACCCCACAATAGTGCCCGCAGTGTTGAGTCACTTAGACTAGTGGCCACATTGCAACTTGGTCGATAGCATTCGATCCGCACTAATAAGAACCTGACACACATGACAGTGATTAACACCCAGTGATCAATCAATTGTAAATACATCTCAGTCCTATAGGAGGCCAGTAGCGACCCGGTTTGCTCAGTGATAATGTCTCTGATTGTGAAGCTGGGTGACACGGGATCAAATCCGCCAGGGAGCACCAGGTCCCTCAAGATTACAGGTACACCCTTCTGACGATTGCCAAGTAGCATGAAACCCGGGTCTAGGGTTTCCTGTCGACTACCACCAATCGCCATCTAGTATGAGGAATTGTATAAACTGCTGAACTCTTCAGAAGGGAAGTGTTAAATCAGTTATTATCCTAACTTTATCGTAGTCTACTCACAAATAACATGTATTCCTATCTGTTTTAATTGTACTGGTTCCTTTTTAAGGCGAATATGTTTTGTAGCTCACGGCTACTACATGAGACGCACTTATATGCTTACTGTAGCGCTTATTGTGGGCGTAGATGGCCGCTTCGTAACCTATCTCCATTGCATCACCGAAAGAATGTCGTCTTAATTAGGGTTCATGGGTGTCACTCTTGCTTTTAACTCTTCTGAAGAGGGCGACATACCATAGCTGACGCATGCATTCGGACGACGATGAAACAACAATGAAGTTAACGGCTTCTCCAGTGAGTTTGAGAGAAACCCATAGTCACCTCATTATAAGCCAAATGCTCGTTGAGAAGTGCTACAGCTCACCGGCATTTCAAGCGTAGGCATTCCGCTTAACACATCGGGGAATATAATCATGACGTCTTTAAATTAGTCGTCTGTTTCTCCAATGAAAAATATTTGTTTGATGACCCACTTATCTGAACAACTAATTTACTTACCTGTTCGCTGGCAGAAAACTTTATCAAAAAGCTATTAACACATGTATTACTCCCAATAACTTTCATGGCGAAACTGTCTAATTAACCAGGAAACTGTCGGTCCTTCTTACCCATAATGAAATTCGTACAACGCGAAAATAATATGACACCGAATAAATGAGATCTGATCTCGAATTCAAGAGACTCGCTAAGTAAATCACTGACCAACCACCATGGATATGTAGAATTATGGTCTACTATGATATTAGCACTGCTCTAATAAGACTTAATCCTAAAATTGCAGATTTGTTATGATATAACTGCCTAATCTATAAGATCTTACGTGGAAGTCACATCATCGTCCACACCAACTCACTGCATCATAACAATCACCAATACATGATGGAGAACAAGCTTAGGCTACAGATAGGACAATATATTTAATATGAATAAAAGATATAAGGTAACATTCAGTAGGGACCACGTCTGCAAGGCAGAGCCATGCCATCCGATCAACTCTAATGAATTCAATTCCTTGTTCCCTCCCTCTCCATCGTCGGATTTTTCTCCGCGTTAAATACTGAACATCTGTTTCCCCAGTTGTCTCGTGTTCAGCTTTGAGTATTATGTGGTTAGGGCCTAATGCCACTACAGATTTACTTTAACAAGTTATTCAATATAATGATGAAAGGCAGCTAATAGATAGGTGGATAAACAGACAACTAAACAAAGGAATATTAGAAGGAATGGAAAGGCATTCGAATCAGTCACACAACTGAGCACAATTTAATCAACAGAATCGAGCTAATTTATTAGATGGTCACGCGATCTATCAGATATTTTACCCTAAAATGAGTATACAGTTGTACGCGTTTGACATGTTTGCATTAAGTACCATATAAACGTACGAAATTATTTGGGTGCTATATTTCATCGTCACGTGAGCTACCAGTAAAAAGTATCTGAATGATTTCATGCTGTCCCAAAACGCTGGATTTCCAGCAAATATTGGCATATTGGTTTATCCAACTAGCTAAGCTGTAGTTACCTAATCAAGTTCATTACCAAGAGGATTTGGGATTGGCGTGCTGCAGAAGTATTCTACGGGTCTTTTGCAACCACAACAACCGTAACAATAGCTTTAATATTTGATTCGAATGCACTACAACGTGCAATCGTAACACTAAGTAACACCGCATACATCTTTTAATAGAGACAAATGAACAAACTGGCTACGAATATTCGTTGTCTAACAACAAAAATAAAACAGCTAACGACTAAATCTAAGTACTAGAAAAATGAAAGTCGCCAAAAGCCTAAAATGTTACAGAGTCTATTACACTAAAGTAACTATTCATTGGTACACTTCTAATTTTTATTGTCGCACTATGGAAATTCGACCTATGTTTATTAAGTCACGGCAATGGTATGAATCCCAAACCAGTAAGATTTGTAAGTGACCTAACTTTGACCAATACGAACAATTTGTCAACTCCCCGCGTTCATTATCAAACGCTATCAGAGAATGTCCAAAGGTTGTTTTCGTCAGACTATACAAATAGGAGTCTTCAGAATCTACTCTGACTAGATCCTGGAAGACAAGATAGCACTTTACTATGAGTTCGAACGGTTGACTGAAAAACTATAGCCAGCTGAATATGTTTTCAGTGCACTTATTCTGAATTGTATCTGTTGGCGAGGACAGTGTAGAACACAAAAATTAACCTTTGTTTTACTTGTTTTTTGTTTTGCCGTAAAAGTAAACCAGATAGATCAGTGTGATTATCTTTAGCATATATTTTACACATATTAATCACACAGCTTTTGTGTTGGAATCATTGTTTCACATCGTCCATATAATATTAATATTTTTGTCGTGTACCAAATGCCAGATTTAATGCACAATGAAAGCCTGGAAAATAAGCATAATTTCTCATCGGTAGAGATGGACACTGTTTTGACTGTGATAGCCCGAATAGCAGGATTAAACCGTAATGGCCCCGAGTTGTGGTCCGCTCAACTAGAATATTATTTTACGAGGAAATTCGATGCAAAAATTTATGCTCTTTTCTCTGTCCTTCAGTTGTCAAGGGAGTCAGCGACTTAATTTCGGATCCTTCAACAATGAAAAAAGTTAGACAATAAAAGATATAGTTATTAGTATTCTTAACACTTCACCCTCTATATGCACACTCCCTTCTAATAAACAGATTTCCTTGTATCAACCTTGACTCCCCTTCCTTCATGTGAGCTTACTCCAGCTTGTTAAACGCCATAACTCATTGTTCTTTATTACTACATTCTCTTATATGGAGCCTCTGATTTCATTTCACTCTAACAAGAAAAAATATGAATTGAATCTAATTTATTATACTTCTGTCTGTTCTACTACAAAATGTTAAGCAACGTTTGGCGTTCATATCCAAGTGCCTTGCTGCTCTTCTGTTTCTCCGTTTTCTTTCTTCAGAATCTTGCTCTGAGGGCACAGCTATGGAACTTTTGACGTCTGGAACAAACTTGACGTACGCGTCTCCTCAAGGTTATACTTTACGGCAAGCACTCTACGAGTCTACTTTATAACAACTATAAACTTAATAATTTGGGAAGCATGCTCTGAGCCAAAAAATGTTGTAATTTGTAGACCATATCTGTAAAACTAACCTGTGCCTGCTCATGCGGATATATATATATATATTATTATTATTATTATTATTATTATTAACATCACAAACGTACCACATTTTAGGATATGAAATAATGGACCGTCTATCTTTATCAGACAGTTAAAGAACTCAAAGGCTTTCCCAAAGAGAAAAATTAGGTGATAGATCATCACCATAATTATTATTTAGCATTCAATTTCTAGTGGGGGACAGAACCATACGTGAAGCAGTCCTAAAATAAAGATGGACACAAGCTACGTCCAACACCGTTTGGATGACTAATACCCGGACACCTCATCACATCACTCAGCATGTAATGCAGTGGGAACAATAGATGCAGGCCGCCAAGCCGTATCACCTTTGGCTCACCAATGCGGTGCTAGTAGATACCCATTATTTTATCTGTAGAAGAAGCCATACTGCTGGTTGCAGTAGGTCTTTATTCAAATCGTAGAACAGATCAGTTGGGTAGCGATATCTTTTCTAAACACGCAAAGTTTTAATAATCAACATAGAACAATAAAAAATATGTGGTATGCAAAATAAGGAACAAAATAAATACTTGAGCTGCAATGTGTTGATATCGCCGATTTACTTACGCCCAGTTGTTAACAACCCAACCCAAGTTGTTACAAGTTTGTTGATATTCTTAGGAGTTCAGAATTCCCAAAACCCGAGATTTGTCATCATATACCTGATTGGTTCGTCCACAAATTATAGTCTTACCGTTTTATTTGTTATAGCCGCTCAACTGTCACGTTTTGTACAAAATTCCCTGTGAACCGATCGTACGTTAGCATCAGGCACTGAAGTTGGCGCTGTGACCTTCAAATCTCTCAGACGCTTTTGATTGGCCCGTCCGTAAATTAGAGTCTCGCCAAACATTGAAATAACATCACGAGACTTGGAGGAAATCAGTAGGGCGAAACATGAAATCACAAATCGCACTTAATTCATTTCAGTAAAATCAATCACTTAAAGTACAAAATGAAATTCTTTTGTTTCACTAACAACGTTACGTGATTTTTACACTGATATGACTTTTCATTAATAAGTGATAGTTGATATTATTTACTGTAAGATGGTTGTTGGAAGTAGTTGGCAGGAAACCCTAGACCCAGGTTTCGTGCTATTTGGCACTCGTCAACAAGATGTACCTGTAGTCTTGAGGGAACTGATTCTCTCTGATGGATTCAACCTCGTGTCACTCAGCTTCACAATCAGAGACGTTATCACTGAGCTACCCGGGTCGCTACTGGCCTCCTGTAGGACTGAGATGTATTTACAATTGGTTGATCACTGGGTGTTAATCACTGTCATGTGTGTCAGGTCCTTATTAGTGCGGATCGAATGCTATCGACCAAGTTGCAATGTGACCACTAGTCTAGGGGACTCAAAATTGCGTGCGCTATGTGGTAAATTATTCCCTGTTCACTTCTGTTTACTGAATACTTTCTAACTATGATTACAACATTGATAATCAGAAATTAAAATAAACTTTTAAAATGACTTTATTTGTTTTCTACTGATCATTAATAACAACAACAACAATAACAATTGAGAAGATTGTTTACCGGCAAACTTTTCACTTTATTTCAAGTATTAAATATTGTATTGTATAATCAAACAGAAAGTAGGCCACTGTTCCTCACTCACTCACTCACTCTCTCATACACACGCCTATAGTAGAATATACAAACGGATGATACATTTCTTTTGATATATACACATAATGATGAGGTATAAACAATTGATAAACAATGATTAGACAATTGTGAGTCAAAGCATAAATCATAAGTTACTTCAATGTTTAATTACTTTCAGGTGAGAATAAAGGTGACACAAGAAACTTCTTGTAAATAATAGATAAAACAGTAAAACAAATGCGTTTGTGTCATTTTCCATTAATGAAAATAGACAACTGAGGACACTCGTGTTATTATTAGTACAAAACTATGAAAGAAACAATGCAGAATTGAAAAACTTTATGGTAGACTACATCAGAATAATTAAGTAGAAACCCTAAAGGTAGAATATGCAATGGTAGTAATAGTAGTTATAAGATCTGTTATATGATAATAGATAGTATCATATACTTTACCTTCTTTCTTCTTATAACCTGAAATGAATGAATGTTTTTTTTAACATTATTCTTAATCGTATATTCAAGTATTAGTTTGTATAAATGAAGAAGAAGATGAAATCATGTTTAATGATATCTCTCTGTCTTGATCAAATCTATTCATTCTGTCGATAGAATCTGTGTAATTCGGATATCGATCAATATTCAAATCTAAATTTGATCCTTCTGCTAGCATTGGTAGTCGATCTCTCATAGATCCAGGTTTTTGTGATATAATCCTTCGTGTTGACCAATCTGTTCCAAAAGGTCTATTGTGTAAAGTTATTCCATTCTCAGGTTTATGAATTGATTCATTACATTGATCTAAAGAGGATGATGGTCGATAACCGAACGGAATCGCGCTTCTTGAATGATCATGTAAGTGTTGTGGATTCACTGGAATAAAAAGAAATACTTGTATGACTTAAGTGGAAATATTTAAGATATTCAGAAATAATACTGTTGAAACATTGAAATGAACTTAGCAATTTAATGTAATTCAGTAATCAAATATAAGGGGATGTTGAATCATATGTTTTGTGAGTGTGTGTTTTTGTGTGATTGGTTTACTTAAAGCAAGATTGAAAATGAAACGGAAAATATGGAAGATAGTTTTTGAAAGTATTGTATATTTATTAGTAAGCTGACAAATCATAGAGTGAATACATCATATTACGTTTAAATAAGTCAGTATTCTTAAAGTTGAATTTATGAGTCAATTGAAGCTAGATCACCATGGAAAACCTGGAAGCGTTAGATAGCCATTTTGTCGTAGTATGAGACTCCTCAACAGTGCGTATCGACGATCCTGCCACGTGATATTCGAACCCAGGACCTATTAGTCTCGCGCGCAGACGCTTAACCTCCAAACCACTGAGCCGGTATTAATGCCAGCTATTACTAAAATCTTCACAAAACCCCATTCTGATAAGTCAGTGTTCATTGAAATATGTGGTTACGTTCTTTTTTTTACTAAACTAAGATATAGTTACCAGTTTAATAACCAGTTACAGTTATTGATGTACTAGAAAAGTAACCTAAGGAAAGAATGGAATCAGACGTTCATTATTGTTATTGTAAATTATCAGGGTATTTATGAAAAATAATGCTTATTAAACATTTCATATTAGCTGTGTTATTTCCTCCTTTAATCACTTAAATCATACATGATCCATTTAAATATTCATTAGTGGTCAACCTTATTATAACGTAATCACTAATGTTTGTAATTTAGATAATTTATCATAGCGTTGAACTGATTTAAGGAATCAAAAACTTGAAATTGAGCTCAAATTTTTCTTCGTATGGTAATACGACTACAGTATTAAACGAATTCATTTTCAATCTCTTACTTACTTACGCTTGGTACTCCTCGTCGAGGAGCACAGGCCATCCACCAGCACGCTCCATCCAACACTATCCTGGACAATCATTTACAGTTGTTATTCATCCTTTTCATATCTGCTTCCATTTCCCAACGTAAAGTGTTCTTCGATTTTCCTCTTTCCCACTTCCCTTCACAATTCCAAGTTATGGCTTGTCTCATGATGTAGTTTGATGATTTTCTATGTCCTGTCTACTTCCAACAACTTTTCCTAATTTCCTCTTTGCTAAAAGTTGGTTTGTCCTTTCTCACACAATGGTGTTGCTGATGGTATCTGGCCAACGGATGTCGAGTATCTTGCGTAGACAACTATTTATAAATACTTGTACATTCTTGATGATGGTTGTGGTAGTTCATCATGTTTGAGCTCCGTATAGTAGAACTGTCTTGACGTTCATGTTGAAGATTCTGACTTTGATATTGGTTAACAGTCGTTTTGAGTTGAATAAGTTCGTCAATTGTAAGAATGCGGCCTTTTCTTTGCCAATCTCCGCCTTTACATTTTCATCCGATCGTCCTTGTTCATCGATGATACTACTTAGTTACGTGAATGTTTCCACCTCTTCCAGAGTTTCTTCATCAAATGTTATTGGGTTTTTTGTCTCCGTGTTGTATTTGAGGATCTTGCTTTTTCCCTTGTGTATGTTGACGCTTACTGATGCAAAGACTGCTGCTACACCAGTTGTCTTCATCTTCATTTGTTGATATGTATGGGACAGAAGGGCCAGTTCATCCAAATCTTCTTTTTATTCCCAGCCCTCCATTGTATTCAGTGCTTTCCCTCAGTTGTCGAGGTCTTCATAATCGAGTCGGCAACCAGAAGAAAGATGATGAAGGAAAGTAGACAGCCTTGTTTAACTCCGGCCCTTACTTGGATTGCATCTATAACTTCTTAATTCTTATTAGTTTAAAAAAGCGAAACAAACTTCATACGCTCATTAATTTTAGGAGGTATTTATTATAATCCTAGTTGAGAATTAAAGACCAGTGGAACCCAATCATATCTGACTTGAGCTAGTTACTCACCAATAATATTGAAAGATGGTTGTTTAATATCTTGAATTGATTGAATTTAAAACTGTATATCATTGTAAGATATTTCAATAGTATAAAGATTAAGCGTCTACAAGAGATTTATAAATTCTCAGTTTGATCCTCGATTGGATAAGGGATGCATACAGTTGAGGAGGCACGTACTAGAATGAAACAGTTGTACAATGCCTCCTGATTTACACCATTTAAATAACATCAACATTTCCTAAGTATTTCTAATCAAAGTTTACAGATAACTATTGTGTATGCCATAAAAACACTGATTAGCAAACAAACAAATTATTTTTGATTGAGATCATGAACCGATTGATGTAAGACCACCATTGAAAACCTGGAATCACTGGACAGCCGTTTCGTCCTATTGTGGAACTCCTCAACAGTGCGCATTCACGATCCCGCTCGCGGGATCCAAACCCAGGGTCTCGCTTACGAATAGTTGTGATCATGAGTCAATGGAAGTTAGATCACTATGGAAAACCTAAAAGTACTGGTTGACTGTTTCGTCCTATGTGTGGGTTTCTGATCGATACTCATTGATATAAATGATGTAATACATATACATAATAAATGTAATGTTTATCAACTTACCATGACTTGTTGCTAATGGAGATTTTAAATCAATCATTACATCACCAGTAAAATTTTGTGAACGATTATCATAACATCCATTATTAACTAAATTTGAAGTGGACAATATATAATTATTACCACTTTGTCCATAATAATTTTCTGGAATAGGAATATGTTCAATAGTTTGATCTCTTTTATATATATCATTAATTAAAATTGGCGCTGTATTATCTTTTACTGTATTATGTATTCTATTTTCATGATTTGAATGATTGATAGAATGAGATGTTTTCTAAAGAATTCATTTAGAAATATAAGTAGTATGATAAATTATTAGCATTTATTATTGATTTAGTTAATAGAACATGTTAGAGAATATAGTATGAAGACAATTCATGTGTAACTTCTCTAGTGGACAATGTTAATGACCTTCCACCTGTGTGTGTGGATTGGATAACGATATTGATGATTTCGTTGGTAATTTCAATAGTTGAGATCATGAATCAATTGAAGCTAGACCACCATGGAAAACCTGGAAGTACTGGACGGCCGTTCTGTCCTAGTATGGGACTCCTCAGCAGTGCGCATCCACGATCCCGCATCCCGTGGGATTCGAACCCAGGACCTTTCGGTCTCGCGCCAGGCGCTTAACCAACTAAACCACTGAGCAGGCATCTAACGGTGTTAATGTCTAACTTCAACCAATCCACGAAGTTGCGCCGCCGTCACCATTGTCTTCAGTGAGCTGATATCTCACAACAGACCTGGTTGAACTCCACTGGTCACGGCTTCTCACTAGAACTCCAGGAGTATCTCTCGAAGTCAGTCACTAGTGAGCAGATGATTATTACTAGAAAGGGTTTAGTGGAGAATCGGTAATTTCAATAGTTGAAATCATGAATAAATTGAAGCTAGACCACCATGGAAAACCTGGAAGCACTGGACGGCCGTTTCGTCCTAGTATGGAACTCCTCAGCAGTGCGCATCCACGATCTCACCCCTAGTTTTTACTAAAAACTATAAATACCTGACAGTGTTTTGTACCATAATTGATACTGTTTGAAATAACATTCCTTTCACTTGTCTTCTGTCTTGGAGGGGGGTTCTAACACTCGAGTGCTCAATTTATACGAGGTATATTAGGAATCTATGCTCTAGATATAACACATAGATTAAAGATGTCTGAGAATAAACCCTTTATTTTCTGTTTAAATGAAACGACTGACAGAAGTAAAAAGATCATTCGTTCATTTTTTTTAACTCAGTTCAAGACTACTTAGTAGTCAAAGATCCTAAATAAGAAGTAAATAAACATCTGAATTTTTTGACGAAAGTGAATCAGAATGATCATAAAGGAAAAAACAAGATCCTCAAATACAACACGGAGAACATCAACCCAATCACACGTGATGGAGAAACTATGGAAGATGTGAAAACTTTCACGTACCTGAGAAGCATCATTGATGAACAAAAAGGATTTGATGCAAATGTGAAAGTAAAGATTAATAAAGCAAGGGTGGTATTCCTATTGAAGAATAAATGGAATTCAAAACAATTATTAATCAATATCAAAGTCAGAATCTTCAACATGAACGTCAAGACAGTTCTACTATACGGAGCTCAAACATGATGAACTACCACAACCATCATCAAGAATGTACAAGTATTTATAAATAGTTGTCTACGCAAGATACTCGACATCCGTTGGCCAGATACCATCAGCAACACCATTGTGTGAGAAAGGACAAACCAACTTTTAGCAAAGAGGAAATTAGGAAAAGTTGTTGGAAGTAGACAGGACATAGAAAATCATCAAACTACATCATGAGACAAGCCATAACTTGGAATTGTGAAGGGAAGTGGGAAAGAGGAAAATCGAAGAACACTTTACGTTGGGAAATGGAAGCAGATATGAAAAGGATGAATAACAACTGTAAATGATTGTCCAGGATAGTGTTGGATGGAGCGTGCTGGTGGGTGGCCTGTGCTCCTCCACGAGGAGTAACAGGCGTAAGCCAGTCGGTAAGAATCATATATTTCAATGGTCTGTGGTTGGTAGTTTACAACTTCAGTTAAATACTTAATGTTCAACGATCTTATATATCTATCTCATTTAAACATATGAAGCTTCTAGGTTCAATCATGAAAGCATTCGTTATTGTTTACCACTTAAGAAGAAGAAATATTTTATTGAATATTGATTAATTGATGGATACCAGTTAACATTTTTATACAATACTTGTTCTTACCTTTTGTGAATCATGTTTAAATAAAGATTTGTTTCGTCTTCTTAAGTGTCTTCGACTAGAAATAAAAGGATAATAAAAGGTATATAATTATATATACGTATTGTATAATAAATATTGAAATACAATTAATATAAATTTCATACTGAGATGCTAGATAGTTGGATGTAGACAAAAGAAAACTGTGAATCCAAGTTTTATGTTAGTTGACACTTTTCAGAATGGAGTATCAGTAACCGTTAGAGAACTGAATGATCTATGTAAGAATCAAGCACATATCATCCAGCTACATAATCTGAAATGTTATCACTGAGTTAATCAGTCTTTAGCTGACTCCCTGTAGAAATTAGATAGCTACAACTGAGTGATCATTGAATAATGATCAATATCATATCTGAAGGGGTTTTGTGGAGATTTTGGTAATTTCAGTGGTTAACATCATGAGACGATTGGAAAACCTGGAAGCACTGGACGGCCGTTTCGTCTTATTGTGGGACTCCTCAGCAGTGCGCATCCACGACCCCGCCCCCTGCGAGACTCGAACCCAGGACCTACTGGTTCCGCGCGCGAGCATTTAACCACTAGACCACTGAGCCGGTGTTAATGTCTAACTTCAATTAATCCACGAAATTGAGCGACACATCCACCATTGTCTTCAGTGAGTTGCGAGGTCGTGGATGCGCACTGCTGAGGAGTCTCACAATAGGACGAAACGGCCGTTCAGTGCTTCCAGGTTTTCCATGGTGGTCTAGCTTCAACTGACTCATGATCTTAACCATTGATAATATCATATCTATCCAATCTTTTGGAACTGGTAATTGTTAACTTGTACGAAACAGGGCTTTCTGTTGGCTACCTCTAGTCACCTAATATATCAATGCAATGGATGTGATATCAAATCAATTAGACCAATTACTACAATGAAAAACTCCGCCTGGAGCCCCTTTCCGGGGGCTACTGCCGGTCCCAAGCCCGGATAAAGGAGGAGGGTTGGGCATGGGGTTAGCGACCCCATCCCGTAGAAAACTAACTCGCTAAAAAAACGCTAACCAGAAAAAATTATTCAAACCATTTAAACTCTGCCCTGGGAGTCAGGAGGTCTTCGTTTAGAAGAATTATGACGCCTCATGATGAAAGCCGAGTTTCTTCGGAAGTCACGAGGCCGATGCCCCTTCTGACAACCAGAGCAACCACTTATTTAGGTACATGGAATGCTCGCACAATGTGGGAGACTGGGAGAGTTTTCCAAATTGCTGCAGAAATGAGGAGATACAATTTAGAGGTGCTTGGGATCAGTGAAACACATTGGACGCAAGTTGGACAACAACGACTAGCTTCAGGAGAGCTGCTGTTATACTCCGGACATGAACAAGAAAATGCTCCACATACACAAGGAGTTGCATTGATGCTGTCCAAACAAGCACAAAATGCACTTATAGGATGGGAATCTCATGGACCAAGGATCATCAAAGCCTCCTTCAAAACAAAGAAAGAGGGCATTACAATGAACGTCATCCAATGCTACGCGCCTACCAACGAGTACAATGAAGACGCTAAAGATCAATTCTACGATAGGCTGCAGTCAATCGTCGAGAAGTGCCTAACTAAAGACCTGACTATTCTGATGGGAGACCTAAATGCCAAGGTTGGAATTGACAACATCGGATATGAAGAGATCATGGGACGACACGGACTGGGAGAAAGGAACGAAAATGGTGAGAGATTTGCAAATCTATGTGCCTTCAATAAACTGGTCATAGGCGGGACTATATTCCCACATAAACGCATACACAAAACCACATGGACTTCACCGGATCACAGCACACAGAACCAAATCGACCATATCTGCATCAACAAAAAGTTCAGGAGGACGATGGAGGACGTGAGAACAAAGAGAGGAGCTGACATAGCATCAGATCATCACTTGCTGGTCGCCAAGATGAAATTGAAACTCAAGAGGCACTGGACAACGGGGAGGACAATATCCCAAAAGTTTAATACGGCTCTTCTTCGGGATACTGACAAACTCAATAAATTCAAGATAACCCTCAGCAATAAGTTCCAAGCCTTTCATGATCTACTCAATGGAGAAGGAACTACTATGGAGAGCAACTGGAAAGAGATAAAAGAGGCAATCACTTCAACATGTCATGAGGTTCTGGGCCAAAAGAAGCACCATCACAAGGAATGGATCACGGTCGATACACTGGATAAGATTCAAGAAAGGAGGAACAGGAAAGCAGCAATCAATACCAGTCGAACAAGAGCAGAAAAAGTCAAGGCACAGGCTGAATACACAGAAGTAAACAAGCAAGTGAAAAGGAGCATCAGAACTGACAAACGTAAATATGTGGAAGATTTGGCATTGACGGCGGAAAAGGCTGCGAGAGAAGGAAACATGAGACAACTGTATGAAACAACAAAGAAACTCTCTGGAAATCACCGTAAACCAGAACGACCAGTGAAAAGCAAGGAAGGCAAGATAATTACCAACATTGAAGAACAACGAAACAGGTGGGTATAACACTTCAAAGAACTCTTGAATCGACCAGCCCCACTGAACCCACCCAACATCGAAGCAGCACTCACGGACCTCCCAATTGATGTTGGCGCACCGACAATTGAAGAAATCAGCATGGCTATCAGACAAATCAAGAGTGGCAAAGCAGCAGGACTAGACAGCATTCCAGCAGAGGCACTGAAAGCAGACGTAGCAGCAACTGCAAGGATACTCCAAACTCTCTTCAGAAAGATCTGGGATGAGGAACAGGTACCAAAAGACTGGAAAGAAGGACTTCTAGTCAAAATACCAAAGAAAGGCGATCTCAGCAACTGTGACAACTACAGGGGAATCAGTCTTCTCTCAATACCAGGAAAAGTCTTCAACAGGGTATTGTTAAACAGGATGAAGGACTCCGTAGACGCCCAACTTCGAGACCAACAGGCAGGATTCCGTAAGGATAGATCGTGCACAGACCAAATCGCAACTCTACGGATCATTGTGGAACAATCAATTGAGTGGAATTCATCACTCTATATCAACTTCATTGACTACGAAAAAGCATTTGATAGCGTGGACAGAACAACCCTATGGAAGCTTCTTCGACACTACGGCGTGCCTCAGAAGATAGTCAATATCATACAGAATTCCTATGATGGATTAAACTGCAAAATCGTGCATGGAGGACAGTTGACAAAGTCGTTCGAAGTAAAGACCGGTGTCAGGCAAGGTTGCTTACTCTCACCCTTTCTCTTTCTCCTGGTGATCGACTGGATCATGAAGACATCAACATCTGAAGGGAAGCACGGGATACAGTGGATAGCTAGGATGCAGCTGAACGATCTAGACTTCGCAGATGATCTGGCTCTTCTATCGCATACGCAACAACAAATGCAGGAGAAGACAACCAGTGTAGCTGCAGCCTCAGCAGCAATAGGTCTCAATATACACAAAGGGAAAAGCAAGATTCTTCGATACAACACAGCATGTACCAATCCAATCACAATTGACGGAGAAGCTTTGGAAGATGTAAAAACCTTTACATATTTGGGCAGTATCATCGATGAACACGGTGGATCTGATGCAGATGTGAAGGCACGGATTGGCAAAGCAAGAGCAGCATATTTACAACTGAAGAATATCTGGAACTCAAAACAATTAGCAACCAACACCAAAGTCAGAATTTTCAATACAAATGTCAAAACAGTTCTACTGTATGGGGCGGAAACCTGGAAAACTACGAAATCCATCGTCCAAAAGATACAGGTGTTTATTAACAGTTGTCTACGCAAAATACTTCGGATCCGCTGGCCGGACACTATAAGCAACAACCTACTGTGGGAGAGAACAAATCAGATCCCAGTGGAGGAAGAAATCAGGAAGAAACGCTGGAAGTGGATAGGACACACATTGCGGAAAGCACCGAACTGCGTCACAAGACAAGCCCTCATATAGAATCCTCAAGGTCGAAGGAGGAGAGGAAGACCAAAGAATACATTACGCCGGGAAATGGAGATAGATATGAGAAAAATGAACAAGAATTGGATGGAACTAGAAAAGAAAGCCCAGGACAGAGTGGGTTGGAGAATGCTGGTCGGCGGCCTATGCTCCATTGGGAGTAACAGGCGTAAGTAAGTAAGTAAGTAAATAACAATGGGAAGATACAAGTAAAGTAACATCAAGTAATGATGTTAGTCTTTATTGTGTGAAGTGATTCTTCCTTGAGTATAGTTCTATAATTTGAAAGTGGTATTATATAAGAGCTGAAGTCAATGTGGAGAGGGAATCATTCTGAATGAAGATGTATGATTTCATAGAGTCAAGCGGAAGGCTTTGGTGTAAATACATTATATATATGATATAATGAGAATTAGTATTCTTAATTTAGTTTTTAATAGCACAAATGATTGATCAAGTATCTCTATATTAAATGTGATCTCCACTGATGTAATAAAAGATTCTTGTATAAATTGTTTAAGTGATATCATCCTTTCTAAATTCTCAATTACACCTTATAGGTGTACATGGTTAGACCCGAAATGCCTATTATTATTATTATACTTCCTTGTTTGTGTCATTAACCATTCAGCAGTTATGTCCCGCGTGAGGAATCATGGATGCGCATTGTTGTGGATTCGCATACTGGAACGAAACGGTCGTCCATTGATTCCAGGTTTTCCACGGTGGTCTAGTTTCAATTGACTCATGATCTCAACTACTGAAATTTAACTATTTTATTCATTTACCATAGAGTGAATGAGTTGCTATGACAACAATAAAATTATGATTGTTTTTAAAAAGTTTATTCAATGTAAAACATTACAATTGATTAATCATCAAATAGTAGCCATTATTATGTTTGTCTATCCCTTTAAATGCTAGTCGAATTTTATCGATAAGGTTTCATTGTAGTTACTTACTTACTTACATCAGTGGCGATCATATTTAACATAGAGATACTTGATCAATCATTTGTGCTATTAAAAACTAAATTAAGAATACTAATTCTCATTATATCATATATATAATGTATTTACACCAAAGCCTTCCGCTTGACTCTATGAAATCATACATCTTCATTCAGAATGATTCCCTCTCCACATTGACTTCAGCTCTTACATAATACCACTTTCAAATTATAGAACTATACCCAAGGAAGAATCACTTCACCCAATAAAGACTAACATCATTACTTGATGTTGCTTTACTTGTATCTTCCCATTGTTATTTACTTACTTACTTACTTACGCCTGTTACTCCCAATGGAGCATAGGCCGCCGACCAGCATTCTCCAACCCACTCTGTCCTGGGCTTTCTTTTCTAGTTCCATCCAATTCTTGTTCATTTTTCTCATATCTATCTCCATTTCCCGGCGTAATGTATTCTTTGGTCTTCCTCTCCTCCTTCGACCTTGAGGATTCTATATGAGGGCTTGTCTTGTGACGCAGTTCGGTGCTTTCCGCAATGTGTGTCCTATCCACTTCCAGCGTTTCTTCCTGATTTCTTCCTCCACTGGGATCTGATTTGTTCTCTCCCACAGTAGGTTGTTGCTTATAGTGTCCGGCCAGCGGATCCGAAGTATTTTGCGTAGACAACTGTTAATAAACACCTGTATCTTTTGGACGATGGATTTCGTAGTTTTCCAGGTTTCCGCCCCATACAGTAGAACTGTTTTGACATTTGTATTGAAAATTCTGACTTTGGTGTTGGTTGCTAATTGTTTTGAGTTCCAGATATTCTTCAGTTGTAAATATGCTGCTCTTGCTTTGCCAATCCGTGCCTTCACATCTGCATCAGATCCACCGTGTTCATCGATGATACTGCCCAAATATGTAAAGGTTTTTACATCTTCCAAAGCTTCTCCGTCAATTGTGATTGGATTGGTACATGCTGTGTTGTATCGAAGAATCTTGCTTTTCCCTTTGTGTATATTGAGACCTATTGCTGCTGAGGCTGCAGCTACACTGGTTGTCTTCTCCTGCATTTGTTGTTGCGTATGCGATAGAAGAGCCAGATCATCTGCGAAGTCTAGATCGTTCAGCTGCATCCTAGCTATCCACTGTATCCCGTGCTTCCCTTCAGATGTTGATGTCTTCATGATCCAGTCGATCACCAGGAGAAAGAGAAAGGGTGAGAGTAAGCAACCTTGCCTGACACCGGTCTTTACTTCGAACGACTTTGTCAACTGTCCTCCATGCACGATTTTGCAGTTTAATCCATCATAGGAATTCTGTATGATATTGACTATCTTCTGAGGCACGCCGTAGTGTCGAAGAAGCTTCCATAGGGTTGTTCTGTCCACGCTATCAAATGCTTTTTCGTAGTCAATGAAGTTGATATAGAGTGATGAATTCCACTCAATTGATTGTTCCACAATGATCCGTAGAGTTGCGATTTGGTCTGTGCACGATCTATCCTTACGGAATCCTGCCTGTTGGTCTCGAAGTTGGGCGTCTACGGAGTCCTTCATCCTGTTTAACAATACCCTGTTGAAGACTTTTCCTGGTATTGAGAGAAGACTGATTCCCCTGTAGTTGTCACAGTTGCTGAGATCGCCTTTCTTTGGTATTTTGACTAGAAGTCCTTCTTTCCAGTCTTTTGGTACCTGTTCCTCATCCCAGATCTTTCTGAAGAGAGTTTGGAGTATCCTTGCAGTTGCTGCTACGTCTGCTTTCAGTGCCTCTGCTGGAATGCTGTCTAGTCCTGCTGCTTTGCCACTCTTGATTTGTCTGATAGCCATGCTGATTTCTTCAATTGTCGGTGCGCCAACATCAATTGGGAGGTCCGTGAGTGCTGCTTCGATGTTGGGTGGGTTCAGTGGGGCTGGTCGATTCAAGAGTTCTTTGAAGTGTTATACCCACCTGTTTCGTTGTTCTTCAATGTTGGTAATTATCTTGCCTTCCTTGCTTTTCACTGGTCGTTCTGGTTTACGGTGATTTCCAGAGAGTTTCTTTGTTGTTTCATACAGTTGTCTCATGTTTCCTTCTCTCGCAGCCTTTTCCGCCGTCAATGCCAAATCTTCCACATATTTACGTTTGTCAGTTCTGATGCTCCTTTTCACTTGCTTGTTTACTTCTGTGTATTCAGCCTGTGCCTTGACTTTTTCTGCTCTTGTTCGACTGGTATTGATTGCTGCTTTCCTGTTCCTCCTTTCTTGAATCTTATCCAGTGTATCGACCGTGATCCATTCCTTGTGATGGTGCTTCTTTTGGCCCAGAACCTCATGACATGTTGAAGTGATTGCCTCTTTTATCTCTTTCCAGTTGCTCTCCATAGTAGTTCCTTCTCCATTGAGTAGATCATGAAAGGCTTGGAACTTATTGCTGAGGGTTATCTTGAATTTATTGAGTTTTGTCAGTATCCCGAAGAAGAGCCGTATTAAACTTTTGTGATATTGTCCTCCCCGTTGTCCAGTGCCTCTTGAGTTTCAATTTCATCTTGGCGACCAGCAAGTGATGATCTGATGCTATGTCAGCTCCTCTCTTTGTTCTCACGTCCTCCATCGTCCTCCTGAACTTTTTGTTGATGCAGATATGGTCGATTTGGTTCTGTGTGCTGTGATCCCGGTGAAGTCCATGTGGTTTTGTGTATGCGTTTATGTGGGAATATAGTCCCGCCTATGACCAGTTTATTGAAGGCACATAGATTTGCAAATCTCTCACCATTTTCGTTCCTTTCTCCCAGTCCGTGTCGTCCCATGATCTCTTCATATCCGATGTTGTCAATTCCAACCTTGGCATTTAGGTCTCCCATCAGAATAGTCAGGTCTTTAGTTAGGCACTTCTCGACGATTGACTGCAGCCTATCGTAGAATTGATCTTTAGCGTCTTCATTGTACTCGTTGGTAGGCGCGTAGCATTGGATGACGTTCATTGTAATGCCCTCTTTCTTTGTTTTGAAGGAGGCTTTGATGATCCTTGGTCCATGAGATTCCCATCCTATAAGTGCATTTTGTGCTTGTTTGGACAGCATCAATGCAACTCCTTGTGTATGTGGAGCATTTTCTTGTTCATGTCCGGAGTATAACAGCAGCTCCCCTGAAGCTAGTCGTTGTTGTCCAACTTGCGTCCAATGTGTTTCACTGATCCCAAGCACCTCTAAATTGTATCTCCTCATTTCTGCAGCAATTTGGAAAACTCTCCCAGTCTCCCACATTGTGCGAGCATTCCATGTACCTAAATAAGTGGTTGCTCTGGTTGTCAGAAGGGGCATCGGCCTCGTGACTTCCGAAGAAACTCGGCTTTCATCATGAGGCGTCATAATTCTTCTAAACGAAGACCTCCTGACTCCCAGGGCAGAGTTTAAATGGTTTGAATAATTTTTTCTGGTTAGCGTTTTTTTTAGCGAGTTAGTTTTCTACGGGATGGGGTCGCTAACCCCATGCCCAACCCTCCTCCTTTATCCGGGCTTGGGACCGGCAGTAGCCCCCGGAAAGGGGCTCCAGGCGGAGTTCCATTGTTATTTAGGACTGTAATATATCAGTCACATGTTGGCATATGTGCATCATGTGAGGATTTCCTCGATATCATCTTAAGTCACAAGCTTTTTAAGCACAGATGAATAGCGGTTAGCAAGAGAATCCAGAATATCAACTCTAAGATACAACTACATCCGGCTGACGAGTCCCAAAATAGGACGAAATCTGCATCCTGGATTCCACTGCTAACCAATATCCATCTTTGATTAACATCATTCATTCTAAATTAACCATTACAATCAAAAAGATAAGATAATGTATATTATTTGAAGTTAAACAAATAGTTTACATTATAACAATTTGTATAAATGAAATAAAATATAAACAACATACTGCATGCTTTTTTGTTGACATTTCCATATTCCATAAAATGTTAAAACACTCATTGATGCACCAAATAATGTGAAAAATACACCACGTAATGTAAGTGTTGTAGTTAATGCATGCAACATAGATTGTAGATCATTTCCACGAGATTCAGAAAAAGCTAATTCCAAATATAATGAAGGGGGGAAGAGTAGGGGTTGTGTGGGGGGGGGGAGTGATAGAAACAACAACATAAGTTTCACATATATTTATAAATAGACAACAATGATATACACTAATCTATTCAAATAGATATACGAATGGAATAGAATAGTAACTTAATTTTGCAGTATTTATGCCACTTAAATGACTTGGAAGGAGTTATAAACTTTCTTCTAATATTACATGAATATTGTTCTGTAATCTCAACAGAAAAATATGAGTAGCTCAGTTCGTATACTTATTCAATAGATCATATGTATACTTTGTATAATTTGATGGAGTTTTGTTCTTTGAACTGGATGGTTTGGTCATGGAGCTTTCATCGTTCTTCTGAACGATGTACTAATGATCTTCAGAAAAACGATCAAAGCTCCACGACCAAACGATCCAGCTCAAAGAACAAAACTCTATTGAAATCATCCACCTGATCTACAAATGTTCTTCACTTTGTACAATCAATATTACCAAACCAACTACCATAACACATCAAAACACATAGTCATTTACATTGAAACAATATACACATATCAACTAAGTACACATTGAAAATGAATGATTTTTATGAAGAGGATAAAATGATAGTGAAAGTATTATGTAACAACAAAGTAAACTATGTCAGATTATAAATGGTATCACTATAGCATACTAGCCTGAATGATGTAATAACTATAATAGATTGTTATCAATGGATGTATGAAATGATTAGATGAATACATCTTATGTTATACAGGGATTGCTACTATATTACACGAATTTGCTTACCAAGTAATATATGTATATAGTATTGTATTGTAAAGTGATATAACCTACTGCTTTTTTATACAGATTAACGTAAGTTACATGATAGTGCAATCATAGAAACAATAATTTAAAAGATTAACACATTTTGATGAAGTTTTGTTTGCTCAGCTGGATGGTTTGGTCGTGGAGCTTTCATGGTTTTTCTGAACAACATCATCAGTACGAACTTCAGGTAGAAATGGAGTATCAACAATAACTAATCGAGATCGAGGTCTACAGAACAAGCTATGAGCCACATGTGGAGAAATTCAAACACTTCACTTCTACTTGAAGTTTGTGGTGATGATATCTTTCAGAAGAATGATGAAAGCTCCACGACCAAACCATCCAGTGCAGAGAACAAAACTCCATTGAAATCATCCACTTGTGCTATAAATCTTCTCCACAATCTCAGATTGACACACTGACAAACAGTATTTTTTATTAGTTGAATTCATGAATCGATTTAAGCTAGACCACCATGGAAAACCTGGCAGCAGTGGATAACCGTTTCGTCATAGTATGGGACTCCTCAGTAGCAAGTAACCACGATTTCGCAAGGAGTATTCGAACTCAGGACCTTAACCTCTAGACCACTTATCCGGTACCTAACGGTGTTAATGTCTAGCTTCAACCAGTCCACGATATCGAGCGACCGTCCACCATTGTCTTCAGTGAGTAACTGCCTCTACAACAAACACGTTTGAACTCCACTGGTCACCGCTTCTCACTAGAACTTCAGGAAATACCTCATGAAGTTAGTCCTTGATGAACAGATGATGATTTTGATCAGAATGGGGTTTTGTGGAGATTGTAGTAATTTTTCATAGTTGAACTCATGAGTTGATTAAAATTAGACAACCACAAAACCCCATTCTGATAAGAAACAATAGTATTTGACCATAATCATATCAGAATGTGATGTTGATATTAACCGACGAACTCATGATTATTTCCATTGAGATTTTACAATCACCATAGGTAGAAGATATATTTCATTATTATTCATTCAACTATAATTTAAAGTGAATAATGTCTCTTAAACAGTAGGTTTCATTTGATGAAAACGTTTTGTGAATTAATACTACATTAATATGTTAGTAACAATTTACAAGCTGAGACTGACATGCGTTAATCAATCATCAAGATAAACCAGAATATCAGGTTAGAACTATCAAGACGAATGAATAAGCGGGCTAAAATAATAATAATAGTAATAAGTGTTAAGCATTGAGGCTATGTTACGAGAAAGGATGGAAAGGTGTGTACGAAAGAATACTAAAACTCAATATCTATAAAAAGATAAAGAGTAATTATGTCTGCTTCATCATGACCAATTCCGAACTTACTGACATAACTCAGTCAACCAATTAATGATTACACGGCCTGTTGAAACCTTGAGCCATCATTAAGAGTCCAAGAGGGTGGTGGATTGGTCTACGTAAAACATGTCCCAAATACCTAGATTGAAAAAGATCCAGAATCTCATCAACAAACATTCCACATTCCCTTAGTAACCTACATTAATGTCAGTATTTTTCACTTATTTGTCTCTATATACATAAGGAGTGCTTCGAAGCTATCTATGATTAGAAACTTGCAGGTCATATTTTAAAGTTATGGATTAATATAGAGCTAAATATTGTGCAGTATAATCTTCCTTTGATTAACAGATGGACACTTCCCGTACGCCATATATGATGCAAGTTGATATATAAGAATAATTGGTGAATTTAGACTTCTCAATGTCACATAGTCTCTTTTTGATTTGGAGTGAACAAGCTATAAGCCCAAATGAATACAAACTAAGCTAGTTTAGGCTGTATGTATGTTGTTCGAACAACCTAGTCTTCAGAAATACATGTAAGATCCCAGATATATAACTCATCAAATAGTTGAAGTCAACCAAAAAATCTTCGCACAATTTCATATCGTCGCTAAACACGTTTGATTAGAACAGACCTTTTCACAAATAGATAATAGGTAAGTTAGTATGAAAATTCACACTGAATGTGGAACAAGTCATGATTGTGATACCAACTTTTGTAACGAAGAAACTATCCTGGAGAAGGTGCCAGTTTGTAAAACATAAGATTATTGGCATCTGATTGAAAAATACTTTAATATAACATATTTAACATCCCAGATAAAGCGTGAAATTTGGGGGGTAGCTACAAATAAGCGTTTTACTGAATTGATAATAGTATTCAGATTAAGACATTTATTTGAGATCATGAACCGATTGATGTTAGACCACCATTGAAAACCTGGTGGTCTAACATCGTTCGGTTCATGATCTCCAGAACCCCTAAATTGATCAGACATTCATGTTGAAAAGACATACTACTAAATAAATCAAAGTAACATAAATACAACATCGAAATATATTGCGAACAACATCAACGAAGCGATGCATATCAAGGGCCATAAGTTTAAAGAGAACGGTCAATCCATGCAAATATGAGTAGATTATATAATCCCACCTACCAAATAATTATTAATATAGTCCCTAATAATATCACTGAAAATACAAATAAGGCGCCAAATATCACTAACAATTTTGTTCGTTGAGATAAAGTAACTTCTAAAACTGAAATAGAACTGAAATTCAGTTAAAATATCAACAACACAATAATTCAAATCATTACAAATCAAATTCAAACCAATAAAGTATACAGAAGTCTATGGAATTATACAATTTATCTCTAGTGTATACATATGAAAATTCTTTTCCAATGATTGAACGTTTCTTAATCATCAATTTTACATTGGTTTTCAAGAGAACCATACACTGTCCATACTTTCACGTGACAACCCAAACAGTACAGCTCAAGCTCGTTTAACAGGAGAGCCAGACGCTGTATAAGCTTTAACGCTAAAATCTGAGTAGTATAGCTCAATCCTGTGGTGCAATCACACAGGTACCAAGCACCCTGGTGGACCATCAACAATATATATCATATTTTAAAATCTATTAACAAATTGTTGATCTTATTTAAAAAGTGGTCTCTGATTTTTTGGATCGTGTTCACAAAATTAATTTACTTTACATATTAATTTCTAGACATTAATTTATGTAATTTAATAGTTGAATTCATGAGTCAATTGAAGCTACACCACCATGAAAAAGCTGGAAGCACTGGACGACCGTTTCATCCTAGCATAGGCCTTCTCAGCAGTGCACATCCACGATCCTGTCCTCTACGAGATTCGAACCCAGGACCGCAAGCGCTTAACTACTAGACCAGTGGGTTCGAATCCCGCGAAGCGCACTGCTGAGGAGTCCCATAGTATGACGAAACGGTCGTCCAGTGCTTCCACGTTTTTCATGGTGGTCTAGTTTCAATTGACTCACCAATTCAATTATTAAATTGCTATAATATCCACAAAATCCCTCACTGATTTAAGTAATTATAAAGCTAAGAATTCTTCCAACGTGGCTTAACTAAATTTTGTAATCAAACTGGGATTACAATTTAAGTATAAGACTAATCATGAAGACGTATTAGTGTAAACAAGTTGATCATAGTAAAGATATTTGTCAATATCAATACACACATTTACATTGATAAAGTAACTATGGTGTATAATGGAAATCAATAATGAATCCTCAAATTAAAACTTCTTTATTATATTTGTCTTTTACATTTCAGTTACTAAGTTTTATTAGATACAATTTTTTTCTGAAAATCGATAAACCATTAAGATTTTCAATATCGGATGTGTTTTTTTTTGAAAAATATTATCGGAACAGATAGACATCTTGAATGGAATACATCATTCTATATTAACTACGAGAAAACATTTGATAACGTGGATAGGACAACACTATAGAGGCTTCTTCGACACTCTGACGTGCCTGAGAAGATAGTCGATATCATATGGAATTCTTATTATGGATTAAACTGTAGAATCATGCATGGACGACAGCTGACAAACTCATTCTAAGGAAAGACCGGTGTCAGGTAAGGTTGCTTACTCTCACCCTTCCTCTCACCCTCCTCCTGGTGATCGACTGGATCATGAAGACGTCAACATTTGAGGGGAAGCATGGGATAAAGTGGACGATCTCTGGAATTCGTAGATGATCTGGCTCTTCTATCGCACACGCAACAACAAATGCAGGAGAAGACGAACAGTGTAGCAGCAGCCTCAACAGCAGTAGGTCTCAACATACACCAGGGGAAAAGCTAAATTTTCCAATACCAAACAACATGTACCAATCAAATTACACTTGGCGGAGAAGATTTGGAAATTGTAAAAACCTTCACATATCTGGGCAGTATCATTGATGAACACGGTGGATCTGATGCAGGAAGAAATCAGGGAGAAGCGCTGGAAGTGAATAGGACATACATTGAAGAAAGCACCGAACTGCGTCACAATGCAATCCCTCACTTGGAATTCTCAAGGCCAAAGTAGAAGAGGAAGACCAAAGAACACATTATGCCGAGAAATAGTGACAGACATGAGAAGAATGAACAACAATTGTATAGAACTAGAAAGGAAGGCCAAGGACAGTGTTAGAAGTCAGTTTTTTCAAGCTTCTGGTCAAATATCAGGTTTTAATTGTAATGAACGATCAGTTTCATTACGATGAAAGGTTAGCGATCTTTAACACTTCCACTATTTTCGACACATGAGCCTTGAACTAAACTGAAAGGCAGAAAACGTGGAGAAATCTGTGCTTAATCAACTAAAAATATACACTCAATACAAATAGTGAATCAAAATACCTTGACGAGATGATTATTTAGTTGTAATTAGCAAATTGAATCAGTAGGTATACAAATCATTGGTATCTATGCTCTTCTCCTTCTAACCTAGACAATGACATATAGACTCAGACCTTGAGTAGAATTACAATTATGCTTCTTCGATAACGTTTCTTGTTTAGAATCTTTCATCTACTATTAGGCTTTTAGGTGGGAATGTGAGAACAGACATATAATACGCTTGGACTTCGCCAGTTTATCAACTTTAAAGCCACTGAATAAGAATCATAGATGTGGTTAAGGATCACAATATTAGTCCATTTCTACTGTGATAATAACCTATGACTTTGTATTTCATATAAAGTTCAACAAAACTAATGACTTTAATCGACTGATCACTGAGTAATTACTGGCATCATATTTGCCACATTCTTTGGTGTTGTCAGAATTCTACCGATCAAATTACAGTCTGGTCACTGGTCTAAGTGACTTAAAGTTGAGTAAACTATATTGAGATGTTCGTTGATTGAAGATAATTGACAGAAAACTTTGAACTTATGCTTCATACTAGTTAGTACTGGTCAGCAGAGCATACACTTGATCTTGAAGGAAATTGGTGTTCCCTGCTGAATTCAAACCAATATCGTCTAGTTTCATAGTTTAAGACATTAAGACGAAGCCACTCTAGCCAACTTACTGACGAACATCATGTAACCATTTAACAAACTGATAACTTTTCATTTATCCCTATGAACTACATTATGAAATGATGTTTAAGACGAAGAATCACTGGAAGTCTATTTTGTCCTAATATGGAACTCCACGTCCCTATGAAAAATTGAACCCAAGGTATTCATTTCTGTCGACCAGAGCTTAAGAGATCATACACGTATTGATAAATAAAAAAAGACTCGTGTTCAATAATAATAATAACAATATGCATTACAAAGTCACCTTAAATGTTCTTAATTATAGATCCTTATAATTTTGAATAGTTCCTTTACATCAGGAAGGAGATTTTGTAGAGATTGTAGTAATTTTTAATAGTTGAATTAAAGCTAGACTACTATGAAAAACCTTGAGGCACTCGATGGTTATTTTATCCTAATATGAAACTCTTCAACACAGTGCATCCGCGATTTTACTCGCCGGATTCGAATTCAGGACGTTCTGTCTCGGATTAGCTTCAAGAGGTATTTCTTGAAGTTCTAGTGAGAAGCTGTAACTAGTGGAGTCAAACTATATCTGTTATGATACAGTAATTCACTGAAGACAATGTTGGACAGTAGTAAAATTTCGTGGATTAGTTGAAGTTAAACATGAACATAACATTGATGTCATTGAAATTTATACAAAATGGTAATCAAGATTGGGGAAAAAAAACCAACAACTTATAAATTGATTCATTCAAACAATGAACTACATTGAAAACCCACATTTATATTCATTTAAATCAACTGCCACACGTTCACATTTTGAACCAAAATATGGTGTATAGCAACTAATGTATTATGATCATTGTTAAGGGATCATTTCAATTTTTGTGTACGTGTATGTGTGTATGTGTTTGTGTTTGTTTCAATGGTTAATTAAATAGTGTAACAGAATGATAATTGAACCAATATAAATATGTATATTCGAGGGTGGGGGTGGGGGTGGGGATGGGAAGGGAATATACAAGATGTACACAATTTGTTGTTCATAATGTAGAATAAAAATGTTGACATATTTTAGTGTATAAAAAAAATGAAAACAAAAGAAAATGAATTAATCACTAAGTATAGAAGAAAGATACGTTAGATGATAAATATAATTGGTGAGATTAGAATTTATGGATGAACCAATCAGATTTAAGATAATTGATTTTGGATTTAAGCGCGAAATTCATTCATTCATTCATTCATTTGATTGAATACCATTTTGGCATTATAACTGATGTCAGCTCGTGATGAGAAATCATAAATCTAATTCCCAAACTTAATATTCAACTGTAAATTATAATTCCAGTTCGTTACACTAATTCAATAACCTTATTAAATAGGTGAACATTTCCAAGATGATTTTAGTGTTACTCAAAGGTTATCCATAAATTATAGTCTCACCAAAATAATCTTTTTTGTTAACATTAGTCAGTTAGATAGTTAGGAACTAGGATTCAGTATGAATTAATATTATTCCGACTATAATAGGTGTTTAGGAATGTTGTTAGATAAAGCTAGAAGAAGAAGAAGAAGTGGAAATAACAATTTGTTAGGATAACCACTATTACTTACCATATAGTCCATCGGTATGGAAATGACATCGATCACCGAAGTAATAATCGAGACACCTTTATATTATTATTTTTTTTGTTTTCAAAAATAACAATAAATAGTTAGAATATGAAATTGATTGTTTTATTGTTCAAAGTGTGCTAACTTTCATTGATTTATCAGTATAGAATTGTGGAGATTATTAAGTTATTGATTGATATCATGAACTGATTAATGTGAGATCGCCATTGGAAACCTGGACGACCATTTCATCCTATTGTGGGACTCCTCAGCAATGAACAATCACGATCCCGTGAGCGGGATTCGAACCCAGGGCATTCAGTCTAGAGCGCGAACGCTCAACCTCGACACCACTAAGCCGGTATCCAGCGGTGTTAATGTCTCACCTCAACCAATCCACGAAATTGCACAGAAAGCTGTCTCTACCTGACACGGATTAGCTCCACTGGTCAGACCTTCTCATTAAAACTCCGAGAATTCCCTCATGAATCTAGTCACTTGTAAGCACATTTAATTAGTTTATTTAGTTAATTGTCCAATCTGGTACGAATGTATATCAATCTAATCCGTTATATTCCATATTAATGGAATAAAGGAAAAAATGAACAATGTGGAAAGCATTGTGTTATCTTGCGTTGTATTGTGTTCCCAGGAAAGCGTTATGAATGGTTTTATGTGTATAGGCAGATATCAGTAGGGTCAATGATGTTGTGGCGCGCCGCAGACTCGACATTTTGACGGAGGGAGTAGCACAGGCTGCAGATGGAAGAATGTTGCACGGTGAGCATGAACCACCGCAAGAACGAATGCTTTTAAAGGGGGGACGAGTGTGGCGTATGCTACTTATGTAGACATAAGTAGTATATGACGTGAGTCATGAACAGAATGTCTGGCAGCAGAGAGACGAGAAGATCGAACAACAAAGAATGAAGAAAGAATGCGATTTGTATGAAAATGCAAGAACAAAGGGATTTTGAGTCATATGAGACAATTGATGAACAATTTGCAAATTAAAGATATAATATATGGTTGTTGGATTTTAATAAGCAGTTCTGTAATTTTTTGTTTAATACATTCGGTTGTCCCCACTGGTGTTTTGTACACTACAATGTGTCGTAAAAATGACACATTAACCGTGGAATTTTAAGACAATAAAATTATCTGATTGAAATCATGAGTCGATTGGTGTTTGACCACCATTGAAAACCTGGAAGCATTGGATAGCCGTTCCGTCCTATTGTGGGACTCCTCAGCAGTGCACACCCCCATATTGAAAATTATTTGAACCTTAAACTTATTGATCTGTATGAAGTATGTGTCTATTGAACGATGAATAGTAATAGTCTGTAATTCAAATCTTTAATGATCGTTTAAAGATTATACACAACTGTTAATTTTTATTAGTGACATTGTAGTGAACGAGAACATACAAGTGGGAACAATCGAATATATTCGTATACAACCCTACAATCAATACTTCAGTTACGAAATGTCAACCAATCATCTCAGACTTCATTATTCTTTGGTTTCTACACCAATCATTCTCTGTTCTCATTGTCTGCTCGTTGATCTTCTTAACCTTCTGTCACCAGACATTTCAATTTCAATTGATTATACAGACTCCTTATATCTGTCGACATGAGTAGCGCATACTACAACATGAATAAAAACCTAGTCCAGTCAGAAATTACCCTAACTGTTTTCATTAACAAGAAACACAAATCTAGGTAGATATTGTTGTCATTTCTTATAACTAAAACTAAAACTTCACAGAATCACCGTCTGTTGTGAGTTTAACTCTCTCATGTTTACATTATATATTCATCAACAGTAATAGTTTATAAGATGATATTTATGTATGTTCTTCTGGCAAAATATATATGTGTAGTGATAATCTGTCATTACACATGCGATGAAATCAAGAACCTTCTAGTAGATAATCCATTTGAATCCAGCAATTTGACTTTTATCTTCAGTTACTTTATGATATAATGAAATAACCATCTAATCTTACTAGTAAGTATACTGGCGAGACTATAATTTATGGAGGAACCAATCAAGTATGAAATAACAGGTCTCGGATTTTGGCGCAAAATTCACTCATCCATTCAGCTAATAATGGGGTTTTGGCATTATAACTGATGTCAGTTCGTAATGAAAACTCTAAATGTAATTCCTAACCTTAACTATCAACTGTAAATTATGATTCTAATTCCTCAGATTGGTTTATAACCCTCATTTGGTTCCAGTTATTAGGTGGACACTCTCAAGGTCACTTTAACGTTACTCAAATGGTCGTCCATAAATTATAGTCTCATCAGCTTACTTTATCAAACTCATATCAACTAACTATCAATTTTAAACTTTGAATCGGACTATCAAAACTATGAATACGCTATTATGGTTAAAAGAATTACAATTTTAGAATCATAATAAGATAATATACATCAATAAGAAAAAATAGAAGGAAACCACACCTACCTGCATTGAAATGATACTCTTTCATTTTTATAGGTATAACATTGACCACCATTAAGACAGTAATCTTTGTCTTCATCTGAACAAGGTATTAATTCATCAACTGATTAAAATAAAAGAAAACAATTTTATGATGTATGCATGAAATCATTACTTAATCGACATGAATGTATTCTGCTTGTTTAATCTTAGTATTATTGGCTGAACTTTACCGATCAACTTGTATTGTATGAACTGGTTTAAATAAGTCAGAATCTTAATCACAATCACTTAAATTATTGAATAGTATGAGATATTCATGGTTAATATGTGTCAAATAGAATGTATTCTAGATCCAGGAGTTTCCTGTCGACTACTTTAAACTACCTCATTTTCACTATATAACTTATCTAAGTTTCTGTAAGATTATCTCATGAGTTGTATGTTAATGAAATTACAACAACCGTTTATCCCTATACCTATATTCTTAGATTATATCTAGTTTTTCTTATCATTTAAACATCTACATGAATACTTATAAAGAGAGGATATAATTATTTAATCAGCAAAGAAACTTGTAGTGCTTTGTCTCACTTGTATGTGTTATTCTTTAAATACTGATAAACTATGGAGAATCATTAAAGATCAAATATTGCTGGACAATTTTTATGTTTTACTTGTAGCTCTTTAGCATTGAGAATACAAAATTCAACCAAAGATAGAACTAATGACCTGCTTGACCTACTTCCGTTTCCCTACACCATTCCAAGTTAGCGTTTGCATCATGATGCAGTTTGATAATTTCCTCAATGTGTGTCCTATCTACTGCCAACGTCTTTTTCTGAGATAGAGGCCGGTTTGTCCTCTTCTACAGAAGGGTGTTACTGATGGTATCCGGTCAACGGATATTGAGTATCATGTGTAGACAATTGTTCATCAATTCTTGTACCTTGTTGACGATGGTTGTAGTAGTTTTTCATGTTTCATCATCGTACAGTGGAACTAACTGTCTTGACGTTGATATTGAAAATTCTAAATTTGATGTTGATTGTTAGTTGTTTTCAGCTCAGTGTGTACTTTAGCTGTCCTTGCCTTGCCAATCCTTGCATTTTCATCTTCATCAGATCCTCCTTGTTCATCAATAATGCTATCCAATTACGTGAGAGATTCCACAACTTCCATAGTTTCTTCATCAAATCCGATTGGGTTGGTGTTCTCAAACAGAGAACGTTGGTTTATGTTAATTTTTATGTGATTTAATGTCCATTATAGGTTTATATTTATCTCAAATAACCTAGAACTAGTAACAGTTGTTCATCTCTCTAATACTCTTAATGGTGATTAAATTCTATTTATCAATGTAATCACTTTATCTAATTGACAACAGATTGGGCATATAATGTTAATGAAATGTATTAAAGTATTATTAATACAACCTATTTACAGTTATCGTAGTTATGAGATGATATTAGCTTACCCATTAATCTTTCGTCTGTTCTATTATTTTGTTGAACTGGAAAATAAAACAGGAAAAAAAAAGAGAACTGACAGTCTAAATGTTATCAGTTACAAGATATCACCACTTTCTTCAATTGTTATTGCAAAATATATATATTCAAGGTGATAGTCTAAAATAGTCGATAGAGATCTCTATTTGGTACTCGTCATCAAGGTATACCTGTTATCTTGAGGAACTAGTGATCTTTAACGGATTCATTCGCTTAATGGTCAGCTTCACAATTTGAGATATTACCACTGAGTTATTCAGGTTATGACTGATATCCTATAGGACTGAAATAAATTTATAATTTATTGACTATAGAGTATTATTCAGTGTTATGTTTGATCGAATTCTGAAGATCAAGTTGGTCACTAGTTTGAGTAGGTCGAAATCCGGAGTAATAACATGTGATGAAATATCAATGTGAATTCGATCGAAACTAAAGAAAAAAAATGATTTGAGATACGTGATATTGGTCACTGATCAGTTGTAATTGTATTCAAGATTTTTCGTCAGGCAAGAACAGATGGGATTGTAAGATGAAGTGAAATGATTCAATCTTTCTGTGTTCTCTCTAAATCTTACACAAACATCATATTGATTTATAAAAATAGATAAAATGTTTTAAAAGTGCAAGCTTTATATATGGCTTGTATCAAGACATTTAATTTACGAGTGAAAAGTCCTGGGTTCAAATCTTGTGAGGCAGGATCATGGATATGCAATTGCCGAGGAGCCCTATAATAGGACGAAACAGCTGTCTAGTGTTTCCACGTTTTACATGGTGGTCTAGTTTCAATTAACTCATGATCTTAACTACTAAAATTACTATGATAACCACGGAAACCCCTTCTGATATTAATTCTAAATGCTTTCCATAGTCATACTGTAGTGAATGAGGACATAAGTGGGAGCAACCAAATATGCAGAATCTCTTAATGAAATCGGAGAACCATACAATAAGTACTTCGGTTGTCTCAAACTTGACTGTTCCTTTTGCAAATATCAACCAATCGTCTCGGACTTCATGGTTCCTTTGGTTCCACATCAAGCATTCTTAGTTCTCACTCTCTTTCTTCAATCTTCTTAACCTTCTGCCGCCAGGTATTTCACTTTAAATTGATGATACATACTACTTATTTCTGTCGACATCAGTAGCACACACCACAATACAACTTTAATGAATAGATCGACAGATTAAACGAAATATTGATCATGATGTAATGGAGTATAACAAAGGTGCACTAATTGACATGATTACGTTAAACGAATTAACGAAGGGGATAGTAGTTGCCAGAATAATCACAGTGGAATATTTATAATTGTAGAGATAATGATACCTATGATGAATGAGAAAATGACATTTATTAAACGTTTCAATTGATACTTGATAAGATCAAACATCTCATTGAATAATCCTAAAGCTATAAGATCAGTTATAGGAAGTATAACTTCTAAATGGAAACTTGTCTAGAATGAACAAGTGAAGTATTGAGGCAAGGAATGGAGACAAATGGAATAGTGAGTCAATAACTATGATAGTGTCACATGAATCAAAAGTATTTTTAGTATACATAAGTTGGGATTTTGACTATGAATAGCCACCATCCCTACGTAATTTAGATGCCTGTTGTTATTAAGTATGTATATCATATGAAAGATGGTATCAAGTTCTAATGAACAGTTCATGAGCGACAAATGTATTTCTATGTTAGTGCCAGGTTGTTTGGAGCTATTCAAGAATAAAGTCATTTAGACATAACGAAAGGGACTCATTGTGTCATTAAATAATGAAGTCAATTCAGCGAGGGAAATTTTTTTTCCGACGATTTCATTTATTTAAGCTGTACAATCGTATTAATAGTTAATTTTGAGTTCTTGAATCATACCTCTTTCAATGGAAGTTTGACAAATGCCTACTTTTTGAAGCCTAAAGGTTGTTTAGAAATCTCATTTATCAACTTAAAGTTCTTGTTCACTAACTTTATGGGATAGTTAGGATCTTTAAGTACAACACAGAGAACACTAACGCCATTACACTTAATGGCAAAACTCTTGAATAGGTGGAAACATTCACATAACTGAAGGGCATCATCGACGAACAAGGAGAATCCAATACAGGTGTAAAGGCGAGGAGTGACAAAGTAAGGACATCATTCTTACAGTTGAAAGACACATGAAACTCAAAAAACTATCTGTCAACCAACATCAAAGTCACAATCTTCAATACGAACGTTAAGACAGTTAGTTCCATTGTATGGAGCTGAAACTTGGAGAACTACTACAACCATCATCAACAAGGTACAAGTATTTATAAACAATTGTCCACACAAGATACTCAATGTCCGTTGGAGGGATACCATTAGCAACAGCCTACTGTGAGAGACAACAAACTAACTTCCAGTTGAAGAGGAATTTAGAAGAAGACGTTGTAATTGAATAGGACATATATTACGGAAATCATCAAACTGCATCACAAGGCATGTACTAGCTTGGAATCGTGCTGAAGAATGGAAAAGAAAAAACCCGTGGAAAACACTCTGTCGAGAGTTGGAAACAAAGATCGAAAGAATGAATAGCAACTGGTAACAACTTAAAATAGTTCCCCACGATAAGTTTGGATGAAGAATGTTGGTAAGCGACCTATACTCCTTCATGAGGATTAACAGGCGTAAGTAAGTTAGTATTAAATATTATAAAATTGTTCTCAGTCATCGACACTATACCTCAGATTATCTATTAAAGCACTACTCATATAAAATTATATATACAAGTACATACTTAATATCTGATACATGTATTTCCTTTTTATTAACTTGACGAGAACGAGTAAAGTGATTTTGGATCAACTAGTTCAGTAGAGATAATTTCAATGTGCAAGCGATAATTGTCACACATTGATCTCTGTTGAGGTATAATTATAAACTAGGGTAAACTGGTTAACTTTTTTAGTTGTAGTTAGCAACAACTCAACAATGGTGTAGTAAATAATAGTAATGAAAGTTGTGTTTGTGTTCATTCTTGGTAGTCTTGGTTAAATGGTATCGATCAAGTTGCAATGTGATCCCTAGTCTAAATGAATCAACAAATTGTACACTACTTTTGGATGTTAATTCATTGAAGGCAATAGATAAGAAACACCGATCCTAGATTTTGTATCAGTTAACTCATCATCACATTGTGTTTGAAATCTTAAAGTAACTTATACTCAAGATAGAATTTGAACAACATTACCCAGTTCCTTGACAAGAGTCTATACTACTGTGTTGTTCACGCCGTGACTGGCTGTATGATGGAGATTATAGTAGCTCACTTACAATTGAGTATGTTCACATTTTATTTGATTGAGTCCTTTTGTTAACTTATTTAACGGGCGGAGTCATTCGTACAATAAAACGTATCTATACCATTGTACATTTATTATCATTACACTTGTATGAATATGTACGCTTAGGTATTGCTTACTGCCTACTCATATATTCATTCTTCTGGCTTTGATGTTAGTCGCTTAATTGATTCAATGATTCACTCATTTCCCAATCTATATGTACATTTTAATCCTATTCATTTTAAACTCGCTCATTCGATTCGCTTGCCCGCTTGTCCGCTTGCCTTTCGGCACTACTCTTCCATGATTGCTTAGTGTACCTGTGATTTTTATGATCAACGCTTCGTATTCGCCTTCTGATTAATATACCTTTGAGGCGTTATCTAGTAACGGTTATCAGGATGAACTGTATACAAAGTTTAAGGATTATATTGAATACTGACCACCACAAGATATATATGTTCGGATTGAACACTAAGTAGTAATTCAATTTTACTGATCAAGTAAGAAATTTAACAATAGACTCTGATGATCTCACTAATAATAAAACTGAAGGCAGTGTATTTGATTCCCTTTAAAACTTTAATTTGAATTTAGTAACATACAATTTTAGCTTCAAGTAATTAGTGAGATGATTCAACTAGTAGTCAACGCTATTGATAATCGTTTTTTCTTATATACAACACAATGAAAGAAATAATTTCACAGTTACATAATAATTAAATTCAGTTGCTAGGTGACATTTTTTTATTATTTCCAATATTTCTCAGAATAATCAATGGGAGGCTGCATTTATCTTAATTTAACTGACAATTTCAGATATCTATCTATCTCTCCCCCTCCCTCCCTCTCTCTCTCTCTCCATATATATATATATATATATATATATATATGTATATAACCAGTTTTATAATCATCAGTTTGAACTGTCATGATTACTTAGAAAAGAAAACCTTCTATTCTGATCGCTTCATGTGATACATTTGCTTCTAAGTATGTATCTATATCATTCATATGATACAATAACCAGAACTATTAATGATATTTTCATACATTTCATTTAGTCTTATGTAAAATTACATAACCATCTAGTAAACTAAATGCTGAATAAACTAACTGGAAATAATAATAAGCAAAGATGGATAGTGGTTAGCAGTGGAATCCAGGACGCGCGTTTCGTCCTATTTGGGACTTGTCAGCTGGATGTACCTGCATCTCAGACTTGTTGATGTCCACTTTGGGACTCGAACCCAGTACTGTTCTCTCCAAACGCCATCGCGTTATTCACTTAGCTAATGCGTCCTGATAGCCACTTGCTTGTGCAATGGGATGAAGTTCAAATACACTTGGTATTGTTTTACTTGAATCTTCCTATTGATGTTTAGGACTACAATTGATCAGTCTCTTATTAGCATATAATGGCTTATAATGCTTGTAAATTAAAGCAATATCGAGGCAATACGCAAAGTATGCACATATGCCAATAAGAGATTGATCAATTGTAGTCCTAAACATCAATGGGAAGATTCAAGTAAAACAATATCAAGTGAATAGAAATAATAATAGTAATAATAATAATAATAATAGATTTTTTGCAGCTTAATCAGTGTACTACACATCTTTGTAGAAGTTAGACACACTTGAATAGTTCCTTCTAACTGAAGAGGAAATTAGGAGAAGACAC